GCGTACGCGTGCGTGTACGTACACGCGCGCGAGTGAGAGAAGACGCGTGTGTACAGGCACACGGAGAGCCTAGACGGCTTCCGCCGTTCAGGGGAAAACGAAGATTCGAGAAAACGAGCCGGCCAAACAGCGCGAGACTGGAAATTGGTCACGGTACAGGTGATATTTCATAGGAGAATCGGGCAAGTTTCTTCTTATCGTTGTTTTCGAGAGAGAGCAGCAGGTGCTCCGGAGCTAAACGTCGACATTACGTTTCCGTAGTTTTTCGAGTTCGCGTCTAGAAGGTAGGAACGCGCACACGCCGGACCCGGTACCGGCGTGTTCCGGAACGGTTGAGTTATTACGGTTCGCGCGATGGATCGTACGAAATTTCCGTCGAAGCCCAGAAACGGAGTCGAATTGGCCCGAGATATCGAATAGCAAAGCGAATGGACTGCTCGTCATTTATCAGACCGCAAAGATCCTTATCGACGAAGCCAGCTGTTAACACCTCGAACACGCCGCAGTGTCTGCAACTTTTGGAGTGGATACACAACACGGAGAGAATCCACTTTCAATTAAGAACGACGTTCTCGCCCGATCGGTAATCCGGTAACCGACACTCGGCACGAAGGAACGAACGAGGGAACAGAGGGAATCGGGCCAATTATCTTCGAATCTCCGCTAGTTCGCGTCGAAGCGCGATAACGCTGACCGTTTATCGAGCTATGAAATTGTTATCGCTCGGATCCGCGCGGACGATAATCGATTTTAGCCTGTCATCGAGCTACTTACCTCGATATCCCTTGGCTACTTTCCGCCGAATCGTCCCCGTGTCTTTCGTACCGAACACAACACACGGGGTACGGTTGTTCCTTCGTCGACGGGTGTTTTACAAGCGGGAGAGAGAGAGAGAGAGAGAGAGAGAGAGAGATCGAAATTACATCCGTGATACACCGGTTTTCGACTAAACGGTTTTTCGATACCTTGGAAACGTCCGGGGGAAGAACTCGTGTTCGTTCGACCATCTTGTGTCCGGTAGGACGCGATAAAATTCCAGCTAGTCCCACGGGGGACGTAGACACGGGGAGGAACGAAACGATGGCTAATTGGAATTAACGGCCGAGGGAGAACCCCTGGATGGGCTGGAAAATCGTGATTAGGACGGCTCGACAATGCGGACTGGCATTTGCCAAATTGCACCTGTCCGGTCAGACACCTGTATCGACGTTCCTAGGTAAGCCATGACTCAGGAAGGCCTTTCTCGTGCCCATTGTCACCTTGTCAGCTTCTTACGTTCCTGGTTCACCTCCTTCGTCCTCGTTTCATATACGCCTCTATTCTCTTTACCGAGCTCGCCAGCGACGCGCTCGCGAGCTGAACCGGAGAAGAGAAGAGAGGAGAGGAGAGAGGAGAGTGCTCGGACACGTATACCTGAACCGGGATTAGGTTTATCTGCTTCCTGGGCCGGCTCCTCGGCTTTGAAAGTAATTGGAAGGGACGGAAGACGCTACCGCGTGAATGATCGAGTGCGGCGGGGTTAATCGAGTGCGTGGAAAAGCTTGATGCATTTGATAGCCGACCTGCCGCGTCCGTACACCAGCCAGGCACCGAGAATTAGATTGGATCCGAGCCTTCGCGGTCTGATAAACTTTGCGCGTTTTGGGCCAGCTGATCTGATTTAATAACTCTTACGGGATTAAACGAACGTGTCCTCTCTGTTCCGGATAGAGGCCAACGCTGATCCCCTTCTTCCTTCCGTCCTTCCTCAAGATCCGATCCGTCGAACGAGAAATCCACCCAACTGTCCTTTCCCCGTCAGAGCGACACGGCGACGACGACCAGATTCGCGCGGCTGTTCGGATTTCCAGGGTGTTTCGCGTACACGCACGTGCATTCCACTTTTCAGGCTTGCCTTGAACCTGCTTGGTTGCACGAACAGTTTCACGTGAAACTGGAACCGACCGACGATACGGCTTGATACGCTACCTGCACACGGCTTTATGCACTCGGCCCGGTATCTCCTCGCGTGCCTCGCCGGTGAAACGAGCCTTTCCTCTTT